GCTCAGCTGCAGGGAGGGTAGAGTCCTTCAAGTGATAGTGGACGACCTCGCAGAGATCGAGGTCGTCGCTGTGGTCGCCCTCAGGTGACAATGGGGCAACAACGTCCTGCTCACCATACTCCAGCGCGCTGAAGCAGCGCGAGAAGTGGGGGCGACCGCGGAAAGGGGAACGGCGCTGGGAAGTGCCGTGAGAGGAGGAGGAGGCGTAGCCCGTGCGCTGGGGGTGGGAGGAGGAGGCGGGGTGAAGACGGGCTCGCATCCGCTGGTGGTCCCTGGCGGCCTCGTAAGCCTGTGGGGCCGATGTGAACTCGTACCGCCATAGCTCGGAGCGGTACTCGAGTGGAAGGTTGGCCAAGAAACGATCGATAAGGGCAGCCTCGGGGAGGAACGCCATGTCGCAAATGAGGCGGGCGTCCTGAAAGACCTGGATGTGGCGATCCAGGCCGACAGCGCCACCAGAGCCGGACCAGCGTGTAGTGACGACACGCTCGAAGGCGTCAGTCACGTCGTATCGGGCTCCGAAGCGATCCTCGAGGAACGCCTGGAAATCCACGAAGGTCGGAGTCCGACCCTCACGAAGGGAGTAGGCATAGAAATCCTTCCAGGCCTCGAAAGGACCGCCACGCAGGCGCATGGAGAGGTGAGTCACCCACGTCTCGAGTGTGGCGCCCATGAGCTGGAGTGTGCGGGTGGCAGACTGCAGCCACCGAGACACGCGTATGCCTGTACCGTCATGCAAGGCAATGTCCGACAAGCGGATGAGTGGTGCGCCATCGTTTTGGCGGTGAGGGGATCGAGGAGCGGAGGCCTGTGCCACGGCTGAGTAAGTCGGCGCATGTCCTGGAGAAAGGGGCGCAGCTGACTGTGCGCCCGGGCCGCATGAGGGAGCGGCGGTGGCAACAGCGGCAAGCTGCGAGGGTGGTGCGGTAGAAGAGGTCGCAGCAACCGCGGGAGTAGGAAGAAGGTAGGAAGGAGTTGTATAGGGTGCCGGGCGCGGAGAGCGAGCCTGCATGGGAGGAAGGGTAGAGGAGGTAGGGGGTGCGCCCGAAGGCGCGACCACCTGTGAGGGTGGGGGTGGCTGAAGGCGTAAGAGGGCGAGGTCGGCCCGGAGATGGACAATCTCGTCCGCGAGACCTCGAACGTAGGTCGATCGAGGGGTGGCAGGAGGAAGAGTGGAGGGGGTGGACGCACAAGCGGCGCGGGGCATCCCAGAGGGGGGAGAGCCAGGTGGCGCTGAGGTCGTGCAAAGGGGAGGGAGAAGCGGGGCACCCGGAAAAGCTGAAACCATGGTAGCGGGTTGTTGTACCGTGGTCGTAGTGACCGGGATCTGGGCGGGTACGCCCGTAGACTGAGGGGGGGTCTGGCTCGTGGCGACCGTCGTGCTAGGGGCGTGGACAGTCACCAAGATGGCCGGGTCAGGGGCAACGGAGGAGGAAGCTCCGCCGTGGCCACCCTGTCAGAGGACGGGGGACCCGGACTGGGAGCCAGGAGATGACGGACACTCAGCGTCCTGGAGTTGCTGCATGCCGACGGCAAGGGTCGCCACCTGCGCCTGTAAGGGCACGAGGGTCGCGAGTTGTGCCTGGATGGGCGCAAGGATCGTGAGTTGCGCCTGGATGGGCGCAAGGATCGCGAGTTGCGCCTGGATGGGCGCAAGGAGGGAGGTGAGGAGGGTGTGTAGATCCCCCTGGTGCTGATGCCCCTGGTCTGCCGGCACGGGTGTGGAGCCCGATGCCGTGGTCATCGCCGTGTCGGCGGCGTGTGACGCACCGCCGGCCATGGGGAGATGACGGAGCCGACTGGAGGGGGCTAGAAGAGGTCCGCGTGAGCGGAGGGCGTAGGGGGAAGTCCGCGGTAGAAAGTGGCGAACGGCGCTAGCAAGGCTAGCACGGGCGCCGTCAAAAGGGG